CCCAGTCACAAAAGGACAAATATTACATGATGCCACTGTTGTAGAATAGGACTGTCCTTGGGGTTGGGGAGAGACTGAGTAAGATGGGTTCAATAATGTATATTGCACTGAAACAGAGGAGGGAGAGAACTGTTTAAAAGAGAGATATAACTGGGTATTTCTGTCATCACAGGAGACTAGAGCGAGGGCTACATGGTGGAGGGGACCTGGGGGAGGGTTTGTAAAACAATGAAAGAATCTTTTCTTTTACTTTTCCATAATTTTTGGACTCATGTACTTATAACTTGTTAGTCAAATTTGTGTCTTCTAGGTTGCAACACCCCCATGATACATCTTCAAGGATATGAACATGTACGGCCAAGCACAATCAATAAGAGTGCATCTAAATTCCAAAATCAATCTCCATAATAGTTTATGTGTTTCCTACTGCCAAAGGGGCCCTTTAGAGTAGTGAGAGAAGATCTTCACCCTGAAACCCACAGCGTCCCTTTTCAGCAGGAAGTAGCTAAGAGAATACGCCATCCCCTTTTCCTTATGACTCAGGGTGAAGTCTCTCTCAGGGAGGAGTGATAGGGAATGGCAAAGGACACACTGACAAAGAAGATTAATGAGAACTGGCTTTGACAAGCACTGTGGCATTTGGACAAGAACAAACTGGGAGGAGGGTAGAGAGAATAGTGCAACAATGAATGAGTGGAAGCCCAAAATCTCTGTAAATGTTTATGAAAATTAATAAAATATAATTATAGAAAGAAAAAAAGGATGCTATGGGCAGAATATTGAATGAACCAGGGAAGCACTAAAAGAAGATGGAAGTACACAGAATTACTGTATCAAAAAAAAATTGGCTGACACAGAAGAATTTCTTGAAACAACATATGATCAATGGACAGTGATGATGAAGGAGGAAGTTCAAGCTGCTCTGAAGGAATTAGCCAAAAAATAACAGAATACCAGTTAACATACTTCAACAAATGGAAGCTGCCCTCGATGTGCTCACCAGGTTGTGCCAAGAAATCTGGAGTGGATAGAGAAGCTCTGGTATATTCACACAATGGAATACTATACAGCACTGAAAAATAAGGAACTTATGAACTACTCTGCTAAGTGGATGACCCTAGAGGACATTATGCTGAGTGAAATATCTCAGTCACAGAAGGACAAATATTGCTAGGGCCACTATTGTAAAATAGGACTGACATTGGGGTTGAGGGAAGACAGAGAAGAAGGGGAAGAATGATGTATATTGCATTGCAACAGATAAGGGAGAGAACTGTTTAAAAGGGATATATAATTAGATATTATTGTCATGACAGGATCCAGAATGAAGGCTGCACAGTGCAGTGGACTTGGGGGGAAGGATTGCATAGCAATGAAAGAGTTTTTCTTTTACTCATCAATGAGAAAAGTGAATTGGAGGGGAGGGGGTGAACAGGGAGAAAAGTGCAACAATGAATGACTGGAAACCCTAAGTCTCTAAACTTTCACTAAAATTAATGAAAATTTTTAAAAAAGAAAAATCTGGAGGACAACCACCTGTCATACTGACAGCAAGAGACCCACATTTATTCCTATCCCAAAAAAAAAGGTGACCAAAAGAGTGGAAATTATCAAACAATATCACTAATATCACACACAAGCAAAATCTTGCTGAAGATTATAAAAAAAATGGTTGGAGCAGTACATTAATAGAGAGCTAACAGAAACACAAGCTGGGTTTAGAAGAGGCCGTGGCATTAGAGACATTAGTGCCTATATCAGATGGATCTTACCTGAAAACAGAGTACCAGAGGAGTGTCTGTCTGTGCTTCAATGCCTATGCAAAGGCATTTGACTGTGTAGATCACAACAAAGTGTGGCTAACCATGAGAAGAATGAGGATCCCAGAATACTGGATTGTGCTCAAGTGGAATCTATACTTTAACCATAAGGCAGTTGTCAGAACAGAGCAAGGAAATACTGCATGGTTCAAAATTAGAAAGGGAGTGCATCTGGGATGTGTCCTGTCTCCACACCTTTTCAATCTGTATGCAGAACAAATTCATTCAGGAGGCTGGACTTTATTAGGAGTGTGACATCAGGATTGGAAAAAGACTCATCAAAAATAATTAGTGTTCAATGCCTCAAACTTGTTCTAGAGATGATTTTTAAATTTAGGTGGGAGAGACTCAAGATTGTATTTTGGTTCTTGTGTACTTCTTTTCTTTTCCCCCCTAGCTTCAATTTTAACTTTCACATGAGTAGTTGATGGTCAGCATCTGGGCTGGTTTTGACTGCTGATACTGAGTTTCTCCAGCAATTCTTTCCTCAGATATAGTCAGTCAGATTCCTAAAGGAGATACATTACCAGACCATGGAGATAGCACCAGATCAGAGACTAGATGAGCTATGGGATGACATCAAAGATAGTATCCATGAAAAGAGCAAAAGGTCGTTACAAAGAGAGGAAGAAAAGATGAGAAAGGATATCAGAAAAGACTGAAAGTTGTGCTAGAGAGCTGAGAAGCCAAAACAAATTAACAAAGCCATTAACCAAGTATATGACCTTTAAGAATTAATCTTCATATCTGCCAAGCCCAGCACCACCCACCCTATAGACTTCACTCGTCTGCACTGAATGTGAATGATATTCTTTCAGGGCACACTCTTGCTCCTCTCAGTTGAGAATAACACATTTGTGTCTCTATGCCCTCTTTCTACAGCACATGTTGATGTACCGTCAGCACACAACTCTGCTCCTTCTCTCCTTCCCACTGTACCCATCATAGTCATCTAGTGCTGCTATCACAGAAATACCGTTGTGGAGTGACTTTAACGAAGAAAAATTTATTTTCTCACAGTTTCCCAGAAAAAGCCCTACTTCAAGGCATCCACTCCAGGAGAAGGGTCTCAGTCTGCTGCAGAACTGTCTCAGCTTCTGCAACATTGTTCTTGGCATTCCTCAGTTCTTTGGTGATCTCCACATACCGTGTTTCATCCCCCGTTGGTGCTTGTGTGCTTCTGTGCCTAATCTGATTAGATAGATAGATAGATAGATAGATAGATAGATAGATAGAGAGACATAGACATAGATATCGATATATCTCTAAGTTGGTTAGATTTAAACCATGTTCTGAATTGATATGACCTCATTAACATAGCAAAGAATTCCCTGTTTCCAAATAAGATAGCACTTTTAGATAAAGGAGTTTGAACTCCAATGCATAGTTTTGTGGTGCCCATTGAATTCACAGTACCATCCTTGTTTAGGGCATGGTCTTTAGCTAGGACGATTCAGTGGTCCCTGAAAGGGTTCCTAGCTTACATTGTGTTCTGCTATCCAGGCTTCACCCAGAAGCCTGTTTTATTTCATTTGTTTAGGCTTGATAATTGTTATATTTTACTGACTTTTCAGTCAACATTTCCCTTCATTGTAATTATGCCTAGTGATTTGGATCACCAAAGGGATGCTCTTTAAGTCCCAGCTGGTGTTAAAATGTCCAGACTGTGAAGAAAGCTGCAGCCCTGAAGCTCAAGTTGTTGATGGAAAGGGATGAAGATGCTTTTAAATCCACCAATCCAACTGTGTTCTTCCACCTCTGTTTGACTGTTTCAGTGCTTCATTATTGCTCTCTGGATCCAGTTAATATTTCTCCCTGTCAGCTGCAGACCTTTTCCTTCTCCAGCCTCATCCTCCTTCACATTCTCTTGAGCCTTTGCACATACTGTTCCTTCTGCCTGGGGTTCTCTTTCCTCCCCCTCTGCTGGCTCATAATTCAGACCTCAGTTCAGGGAAGCTTCCCTGACTGGACTGGATCTTCTGTGTATCTCATCTCTATAACATTTAGTATCATTTGCAATTTGACTTTGTCTTTTTAATAAGCATTCTAGCAGAATTGCTTAGAAAATCACACCGACTATTGTCAAGTCAATTCCAACTTATAGCAACTTTCCATAAGGTTTCTGAGGCTGTAAATCTTCAGAGGAGGAGTCTGTCCACCCTTCTGTTTTGAAGATATATATATATTTTGAACCTCTGACTTTGGATTAACAGAACATAGCTCCATAAGACTCTCATAGCTAGACTCTGACTTCAAGTGATAGCTAGCTTCTGGGCTTCATTTTTCTCAGCTATAAAATGAGAACATGATACTCCTTGCCTCATAATACTATAGCAAATAATATGTAAAGTGCTTAGAACTGAGTCAAGCGTAGATTAAGTGTGTTATAAATGTAGATGATTGTTTTTCTTATTGTTTGTGTAATTAATAACACACTATATTGAATTGTCCTAATTATCTAATGCTGCTAAAACCGAGATAACCAAAATTGGATGGCTTTATCAAGCAAAAATGTATTCTTCTACAATTTCGGAGGCTGTAAGTCCAAATTCAGAGTGCTGCTCCAGGCAGGACCCATCCTCTTGTTTGTGGATGAAAGTCTTTGTTTCCTTCGGCATCTACCAGCCCAGCACTCTGTGGGGCCTTTCATGGCATCAGTGAGCTTCCCCACACAGGAGCCCGGGGCCTTTCATGGCATCAGTGAGCTTCCCCACACAGGAGCCCGGTCTGAAAAGATGAACTCCACTCCTGGCAGTCCTTTCTTGACAGTAGCAAGGTGTCCTGTCTCCCTTTCCCCATTGGCTCCACTTCCTCCCCTTTTATCTCTTGTCAAATAAAAAGTATTGCAGACCACACTCTAGGGAAACTCTTCATATATTGGATTAGGGCTGTAATGGCATGAAGGGGTGTTGCATTCCACCCCTAATCCTTTTACAGCTCCTGGTTTGTCAGATCATTAAGGCTCATGACATCATTTCTACACTATATCCTTACACACATGTATTTGAAGGGAGGGGACAATTCAATCCTTGACTGATGAAGAGCTCTGACTGAGCAGGGACTCTTTGTTGTTCATATGACTACATGCCTGTGGAGACTAGCACATAGTGTGTGTTTGTCAGTGCTGATTGACTAGATGAATAGATACATGACTGTGTTTAAGGGCTGTGTCCTCCACAGGCGTCCATCATGACGGGTGCTGTGCAGAATGTGGCCCTCGAGAGCAGACCTGGCCCCAGGCCCTGGCAGCGGAGCCAGGAAGTCTGCCCTCCCTCTGAAGAGATGCGGGAGCTGCTGCCAACACCTTTGGAAATGCACAGGGTGGGTGCAGGCGGCACCACAAGCCGGCTCTATGTCGTGGGACCATCAGAACTTGTCATTTGTGCCCAGATGGGTCTCTGCCCTTTTCTAGGCTTTATGTTCCTTGGCTATAATAGAGGGCTTTTGTGCCAGCTTTGTTGAACTTCCCATTACTTGGGAAGAGCCATCTGCTGTTGTTGAATGCTGTTGAGTCAATTCTAACTCATAGTGATCCTAAGTGACTGCTCCATGGGATTTCCAAAGCTGTAATCATTATACATGAAACAGTATCTCATTATACGTCTTTCTCCTGCAAGTGGCTAGTTGGTTTATACCATGGACTTTTTTGTTACAACTCTAACCATCATACCACCTGGCTAATTATCATTCATGCGCACGCATCCACAGACACATATATACACACAAATACCTGTGTGGATGTACAGGTGCACTCACTCATACACACATAAATATGCACATGCATACGTATAATACACACATGTACAGATAGATGCTGGACTTAGTATTCTGTACGTAGACTCACTGTTTTCCCATTTATTATATATGGTATAAAACAAAAAACCCTTTACCTTAAGTGAAAAGCCAACATCTTCTGCCGTCTATAAATTATTGTGTACAAAACACAAAAAGAAAAAAATATTCTAGTCCAATTTACTAGTTATCAGAAGCCTCTTTGTTGACAGAACACCATGCTCAATACCTTGGAGTTTATTTCCATTTGTAGCAACAGAACTGTCTCCAAGGGCTTCCTAGGCTGTAATCTTTTTGGGAGGGAGCTCGGGTGGCCTAGTGGTAAACAGTTGCATTGCAATCCCAAAGACATGAAGTTCGAATCCACCAGATACTCCATGGGGAAAACATGGATAGTCTCCTTTTGTGCCTCTGAATACCTGCTGGAAGGTCAGATGTCGATCTGTTCCCACTCAATGGCCTATAACAACAACAATCTTTATGAAAGCAGACTGCTGTATGGTTTTTTTTTCCTGCAGAGTAGCTGGTGGGTTCAAACTACTGACCTTCTTGGTTAGTGCCCAAATGCTTTAACCATTGCACCACCACATTTCTCCTTGATGGACACAGAATTGGAAAGGAAGTGCTTTTCTGACAGGTTCCTGTTGATCTAATGCTGGCAGCTTTGCTCAGGGAGAGGAGGGCCAGAGGCAGGGTGCTGAAGCTGTGGAGAGTGAGTGGGGCGGTTGTTAAATGGGACGGGGTTTAGATCATGGAGGTATTGAGTGTCAGACCAAGTAGTTGGGGCTATCATAGGCCCTGGAAGCCAAGGCCAGCATTTCAGGAGCCTCCTCCATCCTTTTGCTGCCCAGGTGACTCTGCACAAGGACCCCGTGCGGAATGACTTTGGATTCAGCGTCTCCGATGGCCTGCTGGAGAAGGGTGTCTTTGTCCACACGGTGCGACCAGATGGACCAGCACAGCGCGGGGGCCTCCAGCCCTTTGACAGGGTCCTGCAGGTGGGCTGCACGGTGGAGTGAGTCCAGGGAAATTCGAGATTGAGCATTGGTGATAGGGCGTGACCACAAGTTAGCAGTGTTGCAGGATGAACTATTTATGCCACCCATCACACTTGACGGGGAGAGGGGCTGCAGGGTCAAATTTCCACAGCAAGATGTCAGCCAGAGGCAAACAGGGCTAGGGACCACCCGAAAGGGAAAGCAAAACAAATCAAGTGATGTTGGGTTAGTTCCACTTCATGGTGACCCCAGCGCACCAGGTAGAGCTTGTGACCTTGAGAAGTGGCCCTTTTGAGGTGCCTCTGGGTCGGCTTGAACCACCAGCCCTTTAACTCCTAGCCAAACCCTTAACCATCTGCACCCCCAGAGTGTGCAGACCCTGAGAAAGAGGAGAAGGGAGTGAAGGGAAAGTGCAAATGTCCACAGGTGACATTCTCCTGTAGCAAAATGGAGCGTCTCTGGGTCAGAGCTCCAGAGGACAGACGCAGGACAGGCCCAGTAACTATAGGGTTCCTTACCTCGGGCTAGCCAAGATGGTGATGACAAGAGATGGCAAGGTTGGGTACAGTTCTTTGGGAAAAGCTAAGCAAACAGACTCTCCCTTGCTCAAGATTCTTACTAAAAGTCTGATTATTTAGGGTAATTTTTACAGTAATTGATTATTTACAAGTTTAAGCTTAGCACCAGCTGAGCTTACTAGAAAGCTCACAAACCCACCCCCAAAAAAAACCCAACCAAAACAAAACAACCAAAAACCCAAAGAGCCTCAAACCTCTGTCATCAAGTTGGAATTGACTAATTGAGGACCTTTAGCCGGTTTTCAGAGACTGTAAGTCACACAAGAGGAGACTGCTCATCTCTCTCCCACAGAGCTGCTGGTGGATTCGAACCACCGGAGAGGCATTGCCTCTGAATTAGCAGCACAACTCCTTAGCTACTAGGCCACCATTCAACTCTATAAAATAAAGCATTTGGGACAAATACACAGAAGCCATCTTTTGATTTGTTTCCATAGCAGGCTGAATTTTCTAGACCTTGACTGGGGAAAGTTAGCCCTCTTCTACTCTAGCCAAATGCCCACAGGTGGTCACTTCATCAGCTTGTAAAGGGAATGGTCACACAGTTGTATTAATTCAGTTAGGCTAAGTTCCTATGCAGTAACAAACAACCCCTGAATCTCAATGACTTCACATACAGTCATAGCTTACACTGTGGGTTAGGGTGGGCCTTGCTCCTCCCAGAAAGGGGACATTGCCTTGCAGTTGATCCTTTAAAGCGCAGGGCTTCCTCAGGCTACAGAACAGAGGAAAATTGTATGTGGAGTTTCCCTGCCTTCATCCAGAAGTAACACCCCCACATCCTGTCACAGACTGGGAGCCACAGTGTCCGGGCCTTGCCTGAGTGTACGGGAGCCTAAGTGGGTGAGCAGGTAGAAAACTCTGAGGTGCCCTGGACTCAGCCACCCTGGGATGTTCTTCTCACCATTCCACTTGAGACCCTGATAGGATTTCCATCCTTTGTACGAAAGGCAGTTCTGTGGAGTTGCTTCTGACCTGTGTGTATCAGAGTAGGACCGGGCCCTGTAGGGTTTACCAGGGCTGACTTTTTGGAAGTAGGCTTTTCTTTAAGACTCCACTAGATGGACTTGAACATCTGACATCTCAGTTAGCAGCCAAGAGTGTTAATTGTTTGCACCACCCAGGAATAATAAGTAATGTATGTTTTCTCTACTGATAAGAGTTTTTAAACTTGAGCATGCTTTAAAGGGGTATTTGTATCCACAAGTAGGAATGAAAATTGAGCAAGCCTTGCTTAAAAGAAAAGGTCTTTGTGGCATATACATACAAGTCAACATGATCCTGGGTACCACATTATAGCCAGGTGGCCCTCTGTGTGTGATCGACTGTTTCATGTCCAAGGGGGAAGAGCAAGTGCTAGAGATGTGTAAATTATGAGTTAGCACCTCCACCCCCACCCCATGACTTTGTTACTCATAAAGATGAAAATAAATGAAGGTGTTTGATGCCCTTGGGCCTGGGGAGGTAGGGATGGCTGGCATTTTAGGAGATACCACAGTGTCTGGCTCCAGGCTGAACTGACCCAGTTCTCCTCCTGGTTTATGCCTCTGCAGGTCAACCACATTCGCACACGGGACTTTGACTGCTGCCTGGCAGTGCCACTCTTGGCTGAGGCAGGCAACATCCTGGAGCTGGTGGTCAGCCGCAACCCACTGGCTCAGTCCAGCCGGACTCCGCGTGCATCGGGCCCCCGCAGCCCCCGAATGCTGTGAAGTCACCGTGAGGTCCAATACCCAAGGGGCAGATTCTGGCTCCCACACCTGTGACAAGAGTGACCACCCATTTGTGCACCTTTCTGCCAGCAGGCTCTGCGCCAAGGATGAGACTGTTTCTTTGTTGCCTGGTTTATAGGGCCTGCATGCCAGCCAGGGGCTCTGTGCTCCAGTTCAAGTGGCATCTGGATCTTTCACTACATCTGGTCTTAAGAGACTCAGAAGAGCCTGTCTGGTAATGATTCAGGACAGGCTTCTCAGCCAGGAGTTTCCACTGGACTTCTTTGGGCTGTTAGAGTCAGACCCTATAACACAAGTTAGAATGCCCAGCTTAGTACAAAGAGTGCTTTCTCCAGGCCAAAGCCATGGAAAGGTGAGTTCCCTCTGGAAAAAAAGGGAGTTCCCTGCCCGAGGAGGTGAGCTAGTGGGAGCTGATGCAGTCATGGATGCCCATGGATGTTCCAGGGATGCGCCCACATGGGCTCAGCCCCGTGCATATAAGCACACTGTGCAGGTGGTGAGTTTACCAACAAAGGGAGCATTCAAATTGCGGTTGGGTAGGAGCACATCATAAGGAACACATGTCACCAGGGAGGATACTGATGTGAGTGGGAGCTCAGCTCCTTTGAGACTCTACAATGCTGGTGTTTGGGTATTGCAACCCACTTACACAGCTCTGAGCTGGAGCATCTGTAGTTCCAGAAAGCCCTGTCCCTTGACACCTCAAAAAGTCAGTGATTCTCATTTCAGTATTTCTGTGATTTAAATCTGCAATTCTGGGCTCATTGGGCAACTCAGGGCTGGCTTCTGGTTCTAAGACCCTCCTGCATCTTTTTTAGGGCCTCGGGTCACCAACCCATCTGCACACACAAGTCTCCACCGTCAAAATAGGAAAGGGTAACGTGGGGACCACAGGATTTCACACAGCTGCCAATCTCAGTGAAGATTAGAAACCATGGAACTGTGGTGCACATATAAGTCATGTAATCGTACATCATATGGTGCCTGTCCCACTACAGACTTCACTGATGGGGGAGTGAGAAGATGGGATGCACAGAGATGGAGAAGGGGGTGCTAGAGCAAGAGAGGGAGGCTAGGAGAGACAAAACATCAGCCACCACCTAATGACAACAATGTACAAGGACACAATTAAAATCAGCAAGCCTACAGTTGATCCTGACCCATGGTGATCTCAGAGTAGAGCTGTGTCCCACATACAGGTTTTCAGTGTATGGTTTCTCAGAAGCAGACCATCAGGCCTTTCTTCCAAGGTGCCACTGAGTGACCTGAGGCAGGTGGCCCCTGTTCAGTAGCAGGATCAAATAGGATACTCAGGGGCCTCCAGGTGAGGGATGACACATCTTGAGTGACCGATGCCCCCATCCTCCTCCAACTCCAGGTCTCTGCCATTCTCCCAGACACATGTAGCCACACCTCCTTGTGGTGAGCCCTCTGGCCACTATGAGGACTTCTCATATGCAATACTTTTCCGGCTTCTCATGGGGATTATTCATCCCAGTATTGACCTTTCCCACCTCCCCTCCCGGTGAGCTTCCTGCCTGCCTATGCATTCTGGGTACAGCCCCTGTGCCATGTCCCCAGCCCTTCAAAGCTGTATTTTTCTCTAGCTGAGATTAGAGCATATCCCTTGTAAAGTATTTTTCTATGTGGAATTTTCTTAGGGCTCTTGGAAAGCACAACATGGCAAGGGGCTGGATTTCAGACATCATCTGGGGTCATGTGAATCTCATCCCACCCAGGGTTGTAGTGACTTGGAAATGGGGTAAAGGTAATTGGGATGATTTTTTTTAAAAAAAAGAAAATAAAATTCTTTCAATTCACCTGGAGCATGTGTCTCTTTTTGTTTCTTTCCCCAATAATAAATAAAAAATAAATGATTTGGTAGGAATTAGCTAATTCAAGCACCAGAAAAAAATTTTTGTAATATCGTACCTGTGTTTGATTGACTTATTCATGTATACATTTACTCAAAAACTCTATTTGATAAGCAACACTGTAGCCCCTGTAAATTTGAAGTGAATTAGATGGGTGAGGGTCAGTTTGGGTTTATATCTGTGAAAAGAGCAAGGGCCATGTAGGGATGACCATATCTGACCTTTACCAACTTCCTGAAAGGGAACTATTTCATCCACAGAGTAAGTAACACAAAATCAATTCTTGTGAGCTCAGACATGTCCCCCATGCTTCCATACCTCTTTCTACTCATTTCAACACAAATCTTACTGTTCTGCTGAATCGAAAATCCAAGTCAATATCTCACAGACCACGCAGAACCATAGTAAGGAAGTTAAAAGTTTATAATCCAGATTAATAACAATACAGCCAAGACAGCTCTCAAAATGTACATACAAACACCTCAGCCTCGAGCATCATGCCTTCAGGACTGTGTTCCCAAATTCTCAGTCCTGCCAATATTGACTTCCCTCCCCTGGCTGTCCAACAAAGCTCTCAGTATTGCCAGTATTTGTGATTTCCTACTTCTCTCATTCAGAGAATGTGATTTGCCAGAGAGATGTGGTCTATGAAATTGCCAGGTTGTCAACTCTAATTCATGTTAAGGCCAAGTGCCTTGATGTAGAGCTGTTATCACAGTGCTTTCTATGACTGATCTTTCAGAAGCAGATCATTGGGTCTTCCAAGGTGCCTCTGCTGTACTAGAACTCAATCTTTTGGTTAACAACTGAATATACTGGCCATTTGCACTACCCACACCCCATCCTGTGTCTGTTTGGCCAAGGGAGATGACCAGAGTCCCAAGGGCTTAGTATGGTGTGTAGGACATTAATATTCTTTCCAGTGATCATAGGATTGAGGGGCTTTTCTGGAACAGGAAGAGAAGTACAAACCAGGTTGGGGTAGACAAGGAGGGAGTGACCTGGATACAGCCACTAGCTCACAGCACTGTTCAGAGCACTTTACAAGAATCCACTCACTCCCCCACTAGCCTCAGAAGTAGGATCTGTTGTCATTGCCACATTGTTGTTGTTATTATGTGTCATTCAGTCAACTCCAACTCATAATAACAACAACAACTTACGCACAATAGCTCTCTGAATCCTGTCTCACTGCCTCAGACACAACTACCCTCATTACTGCAGTTTACTAGGTCAATCTATCTCATCCAATGTCTTCCTTTCATGCACTGACTGTCCCTCCACCCTTCCAAGCATGATGTCCTTCTCCAGGGACTGGTCCCTTCTGGCAACATGCCCAAGTTTGTGAGATAGAGCTTCAGAATACTTTACTCCAAGGAGCAGCTTGCCTTCGCTCTATCCAGGACAAACCTGTTAGTTCTCTTAGCAGTTCATGGTACATTCAATATTCTTCTTCAGCACAAACCAAAGGCAGCAATTCTTCTGTCATCTTGGTCATTATCCTTCTCTTTGATGCATAGCAAGTAATTATAAAGGCCATAATCTGAATCTGTTGCACTTTAGTCTGTAGACTGACATTGTTGCTCTTCAGCACTCTGGAGAGGTCATTACATATGAGAAAAAAAGGCAGAAGGAACTTGCTTGTACTCTATTGAATTGTATCTCTCCTGAGTTGTGCCCAAATCTCAGAATCCCACTATTCTGTCTTTGAAGACGAAAATGTAAAAAATCTCCACTTTTTACTTTTCTGTTCAGTTCTGACATCAGCTGCTCTGACCCTAGTCACCCAAATAAGGCAGACCTCACAAGATAAAAGGACACTGACTGTACTTTTAGACTAGGGAGCTCTGATGGCTTAATGGGAAGAGTAGGGGGAGTTTCTCCACACCACCACTATCCCAATCTGATGTTATGCTATCAGGAGTTTCTCAGGCCTAATGTTAGAGCACGGAGGCCCGATTTGTTAGGTTGGTGTGATCTAGATAGAGCTCTCCCAAAGGGGAATGGAACGAAGTCAAAGAAAGCCATTCAAAAAGGGCAGAGGAATAGTTCAAGACCGAGCAAGCTTTATTAAGTAAGGAAGGTGCACCCTTAAGAGAAGAGGATGGGTCTATTCTCCAGAGAGTGAGAATAGCTAACCCCTATCTTCTTTGTCCTGTTTATATAACCTTGAACCGAGCTCGTTAGAACACCCTTGCTCTACAGAGACAGGTAGAACGTCATTGGTCACTACAGTAAGGGCCATTTGTTGGCCTCTGCTGGTTTACTGGCTGCTTGGATTCCATCCCAGACATTCCTTACCTTGCTTTTGTTGTTTTTTCTTACCCCAATAGTAAGGAGGTGCAGTGCCAACCCAAAGGCATCGGTCTAAATTCACTAGCTGCTCCACAGGAGAGAAATGGGAAATCTCCATGCAATTTATAATCTCTGGAATCCTGCTGGTGTGTCAGCTAAGAACTGGTTCTGACTCAACAGTAAGCAACAATAATGTTCTTTAGGCTACCAAACAAGCAGATGCTAGCTACAAGTTTGGGAACCCATACAATACCCACACTTGATGGCTATAAATCTGAGATTCCCCACTGGCCCTTCAGGCCCCTTTTTGTTGTTATGTGCCATCAAGTCACTAGGCCCTATGTACAACAACTCTGAACCCTTCCCTGTCCTGAGCCAGTCCAATTGACTCTGACACACCCCATTGCCCTGGTTACTGTATCAATCCATCTCATCCTGGGTCTTCCTCTCCTGTGTTGTCCATCCACCCTTCTGAGCATGATGCTCTTCTTCAAGGACCAGTCCCTCCTGACCACATGCCCAAAGTATGTGAGATGGAGCTTCAAAGTCCTAGCCTCCAAGGAGAAACTTGGTTTCACTCTCTCTAAGACAGACCTATTTATTTTCTTGGCAGTCCACGGTCTAGTCAAGACTCTTCTCCAGAACCACAACTCAAAGGCATCAATTCTTCTTCTATCCTCTTTAGTCATTATGATCCAGCTCTCTAATACATAGCAAGTAATTGCAAAGAAGATGGCACTGGTCAGGCACACCTTAGTCTCTAGACTGACATCCTAGGCACCTTAATTTCTGACCTACTAGCTCCCACTA